TCATGTGTATAGAACAGACTTCACCATAATGTGAGTATGACCCTATGGCTACTTTCATGCAGTTTTACAAGCCACATAAACAAATGTTTTAAGAGATGTTTAACTGTTTGTTTTATATAAAGCTACTCAACCTGTATTAAACAAACATCTCCTGTTAAATGTCTTATACATACAATTTGTGTATACAGTTAAAAGTATATTTGTAATATAAGAATTTGTTATTCAGATCAAAAGAACCAGCCTGGTATCAGACATTAATCCGGCTGCTGTTTGTAATTCTTGTACCTTTTTAAAGAACAGTGGAATGTGGTAGAAACTACCCAGAGCCAACTTGTGGAGCTTCTTACTTAGTTTTTCATGTACACAGGTAAAACTCTCATTGAAGGCACTAAGTAAGTTTCACTGTATAGCTCGTATGCCTGTGCCCATAGAAAAGATACACATGCATTAATCTTAATTACACAGAGCTCTGCAAATGAGATATAAAGCCAGCTATGTAGAAAGTGCATAAACTGTTGAATTAAATACAACATAGATTTCTGTGTCTGCTAAATAAATACTAATTCAGGTTTCAAGTTATTATATAGAATCTGTAAATTATTATCTACTAGACAATAAAGCACATGTTACTACCTTTTAAGCTGTATCACCTCATCTGAGTACTGGCAAGCTTTATTTGCAGTGTAACTGAGTACATCAGAAGATTATTAATAGCTGAAGCCCATGAGAGATTTGTTTTCACTGTATGTAACCACATTAGAGATAAAGTGGTTTGGGTACTCCTACAGCAAGTCTCAGGCACTTTCCAAAATTCTGTGGCAGAGATGAATTGCCAGAAAGATTTGTTACAACTACTATAGTCTGTGTTCAGTTTTAGAGTAATTAAGTATCAGTCTCTTTTTAGTATTAAAACAAAAAGGTTTTGTATTTAGTACCTACATTTACATTACAATACTCCAAAGAGGTGTCTTCTGCCTAAACATGAAACAACCTTCAGAAACAGCTTTCTTCTCTAATTAGGCTTGTTTGTATGCAAATTTAAAAATATAAATAATGCAGTAATGAAGAATAGTCTTACGTGTTGTGAGAAAGCTAGGCTGCTGGGAGAAATCAGGAGACTGTCCCATAGGGCAGATATAGGACAGGCATATTATATTCCTAGTTTGATGTAATTTGTTCTGCTAATTTTCTGAATATTTTCTGTCAGATGAACTGGTATTTCTTACAGCAAAGCCTTTCAAGCCTCCATAAAGAGAGGATGAAAATTTTGAAAGATGAGTTTTGTGAGTATATTAAGATAGCACAGTAATTTATTATGTTGACAAATATCTCAGTTGTAAAAGTAGTAAGAAAACTGTCCTATAATTCAAAACATGGAAAGAAGATTGAAAAGGAACACCTGTTTTGCAGGGAATCAGCACAGGCTATGGGAGCTGCAGGGCAGCTGGCAGATGAGAGCTGCCTCTGCCCTCCTGTAACAATCACCACTCCCCAAACCAGTACGTGCCCTGTGTTCACTGGTCAGGCTGAGCTCTAACAGCCAGAAGCCTGTAATGTTTAAACTGAAGTGATGTACTTGCATCTAGTGGTAGTTTTTATTTCCTCACATGCAACTGTGAAATTTCATGGAGTCCTAAAGGATTACAAAATATTGAGACACATTATTGGAATACTCTCAAATATACCAGATAACGGTGCTCCCACCTCCAAGCCTTCTTTCATATCATTTCATTGTGCTAGGAAGCACTCAGAAAACAATCTCATTTATTTCCTCCTCCAATTTTAAACTATATAATGCTTTATTTTAAACAAGGAGAATTAGTATAGAAGGCAACCATGAGCTTATTAATCACATATTTATAGGCTCATATTTACAGTATTTTCCAAATACTCCCTGATGTTTCCTCTTCCTGCTACTAATTACTAGGAGATTATAATTCTCTATAACCACCCTGCAGCTGATAGGAACTGTAGAGCAGTCAGCTAAAACATAACATTTGGTCTAATGCTGGCAGATCATAACATGAAACTTCTATTTTATAATGCAAAAATATCCTCTTACATTTTCTGTATCTACAGCACTTTTATACACTATTTGAATAAAGATAATCTACAAGAACATTTAAAGAATGGTTGAGAGCATAATCTTCTAGATCCATGCAGAGCAAGGAGACGTCTTTTTCAAAGGTGATTTCGTTTTTCTTGTTCTCAAGCAATATGACTTTCCCATGGGACACATCAGAGTTTGATGTCTAAACCCTTGAAGAAAAAAGGGTTTCCCTCCCCCACTGAGAAATGGGAAATTCATTATGATGGTTGACATAAGAGTTCTAGTTTGTCACCAGTTCAAAAGGCTATGATACTAACTGCACCCCTTTTTTTCCCCACATTCAATCACTGGAAAGAAGTCTTCTCCCTATGTTAAATTTTATCATACAGAAAATTTATAAGCTAACTGGTTGCCTAATACCAATTCAGATCAAGTAGTGTAGTTTTTTTTTCTGAAAGAGAACATCTTATTTAAGATTTCCCTTATTTAACTCCAGTAATGGCTCGCAAGCTGATCTGGTGTAATTTACAGTGTCCTCTGATTAAGAGCTGTCATGTTTTCTATAGTGACACCTACAAAGCTATACTCTTACTGTATATCACTTTGTTACTGATGACTTTGTGATGCATGATGTAATTTCACACACCTGCACACAAACAACTCAAACCCAAACCCAGGATCCTAGGGTTGCTTTTCAAACTTCTTTTATCAAAATATGGGGGAATTTGCAGCAGAATTTTTAGGCTTTATTTGGCAATGCAGATAACTTCTCTAATACTTAAACCACTTGACAGTACTAGACTTTATCATAATTGTCAATATTTTTCCCTACTCAAATGTCTTTGATTAGATGAGAGGCTGTTTCACAAGATTTATTTTGTACAAGAGATATATATATGTATTCTGGTTGCAATGTGTCTCAAGTGAGTCAGGTTGATGAAAGGTTGACTGGGAAAGGATCTGGGAGAGGAGGGGAGCAGTCCTGAGATACAATTATCTAATACCAGGACTAACAAATGACATAGATGCCATAAATCTTCTGTGACCAGCAGCAAGTCAGGTGATACCTAACCCTGGAAGTGCCTTACAGCACTGCCTCTCTGAATACCCACAAGTACCCCACTCTTATGCAAGGTCACTGAGATCCAGAAGCTAGTTATTTCCCCTTAAATATGCCAAGGGATTCAGTGTCAAGGTAGGTCTGTATACCTGGAACACATCCTCCCACAAACTGCAGTTATAGCTGCCCATTAGATTTTAGTATTTCATTATGGGAACGGAATGAAATATTTTCCTTTTATATAATAGCCTTGCCTGCAATGCAAGAAGAGATCTTGTTCAATGGCATTAAAATGACTTTTTTTTTTTTTTTGCAAGACCCAATCCACCTAAACAGGGCATAAAGGGATACAGGGCTAACAGCATAAAATTGCAGTAGGATAGTACGACAACCTATAGGAAGTATCAGTAAAGTCCTCTTCCTCAAGCCTGGGGACATGGTTCATGCGGATGGTGAATCGGTCCCAGGCCGTTCTGCTGCCGCTCAGCGCATTCCCGCGGACGCGGCGGGTCCCGCGGTGCCCGCTGCCGTGTCCCCGTGGTGCCATGGCCCTTGCCCCAACTGCGGGTCTTTCCAACAGCTCCCGGTGGAGAAGGCAGGGGCTGGGTCTTCCCCCGGGGTGTTGAGGCTCACTGGGTTTGCACGGGCTGCCTGTGTCCGACTGGGAGGCTGCTCCTGCCCCAGGCTTGCCCCCACTGCTCCGGCCCAAACGCCGCAGGGACAGAGCAAGCGGAGGGATGGTGCTGAGCAGAGCCTCGCCCCGATCTCTCCGTGCTGTCTCTACGGGGGGAGCAGGAGGTACCTGCCGAACATCTGATGGCAGGACAGCGAATATGCCCACGTCACCTACCCCACTGCTCTGGCACACGTGGTCCATTACGCTGCCTGGGACATGTCCCTGATAAAAGTTCCTGTTGATCTGAAAGAGCAGCTCTGAGCTATATCGTGTTCATGACGTGGGTGCCTGAGTACATCATATCCTAAAAAAGTGGGACTGGAAGAGGCTTCCCATGTCAAGATAAGCCATTCCTCTACCCCAGGGCATCGTTTCTGGAAAATATTTCTCTGGTACATAGAAATTGCTTATAGTGGTGATCCCAGTATCCTCTCTTTTTG